TATATGCATTATGTATCCTTGTTTATATGTACAATTGTTGTACATTTGCACATATTTAGAAAAATACATAGACAAAAATCTACAGCCTCACATCCTCCTTTCTCTGAAAAGAAATGCAAAGAATGACATACAATTCCATATATATGTACACACACACACACATTGCTTTATCTCATACTATAAAAGATATGTATCTATAAAGACGAAATTGTACACTGCTAAATCCCCATCTATTTCACACGTGCGTCCTCTGTCCACAGCACTGGAGCGAATTTGCTGAACCAGCTGGCTTTCCAAGGATCTGGAGGTCGACCAGGATTTGGCGGGAGTAACTTCATCAATCGACCCGGAGGTTTCGGAACGAATTTCGGTGGCAACAGCTTCGGCAATCGACCTTTTGGCGGGAATAGCTTCGGAACGGGTTTCGGAGGGAATAACTTCGGCAACCGACCAGGTTTTGGCGGGAACAACTTCGGATCAGGTTTTGGGAACAACTTTGGCAACCGACCAGGAGGTTTTGGCGGGAACAACTTTGGCAACCGACCAGGTTTTGGCGGGAACAACTTCGGATCAGGTTTTGGCGGGAACAACTTCGGATCAGGTTTTGGCGGCAACCGACCTGGAGGTTTTGGCGGAAACCAGTTCTTCACAGGTAAATAAAGAATAACTGCACCGCGACCACAAACAACAGGAGTGTAAAGCGTTTTCTTATGTAAAATTACTACGATTTCTTGATGTTCATTATCATTTTTATCTGTTTATTATCATTCTTATCTGATGTTAATTATCATGATCTGATGTTTATTGTCATTTTCATTTGATGTTTATTATAATTTTCGTCTCATTATGATCATTATTAATTGATGTAATCATTTTCTTAAATTTCTCTTTACTACGAACTATGTAAGAAGTAATAAAGCTGGCTTATAGCTCTTTACATGTATGCATTACAAGGAATAAATTCATCTCTGGCAACTCTAACCATAATCGCATATAAGGACCAATCAGAATTAGATAAGCATACTCTTATTCCTGTTTAATCATTGTGTCTCAGTTAGCAAGACTACAATAAATGCAATAACCTAGAAACCTGTCTATTTTAAATAATTCCCTAAGTACTAATGCCATTAATCTTCAGTAGAATAAATGTGATAATCATAATTGTAGAAATAAGTTAGATGTCACAATAAAAAATGAAATATTAAGTGCAAGGATGTGATAACTATCAATAGTATAATGTACTAAGGAGAGAGAGAGAGAGAGAGAGAGAGAGAGAGAGAGAGAGAGAGAGAGAGAGAGAGAGAGAGAGAGAGAGACAGACAGACAGACAGACAGACAGACAGACAGACAGACAAACAGACAGAGAGAGAGAGAGAAGAGAAAGAGATAGATATAGTATACACAGAACGACCAAAAATTCATAGACGAACAAGAGTAACCTCGTAGGAAAGTTAACGAGAGAACACACCAAATAAAACAGCAAATAACAAAACATTAAAGTTTACGCAATAACAAGAAATACACATTCCCAATTCTGTTACGTATTTTTTTTCTTTAACATGCCATGCTTACCAATAAATCTGTAATCCAGTATATATATATATATATATATATATATATATATATATATATATATATATTTATTTATTTTTTTTTATTATTTTTTTTTTATGTTATTACTACTATAGTTCTTTAAGCTATAGATTCTTGTTAGCATCAATCTTAACATTAATTCTATGATCATTCTCAAAAAGCTTGTCACTACTCAGTACCACCATCTTAATCACTATCATTACCCCCTCTTACAACCTATTACAACCATAGTCATCATAACCACTCCGACCAGCCACTTAATTGGTCACCATTAATACCATCATACCAAACACCACAACCATTAGATCGTCACATTTATTTACTAACTATTATTAACTGTAACTATGATTATCAGACACTAACGATTGTTAAGTTGTTGAATGCGTGTAGTTTATTCTTTGGAGTCACTGTATCAAGGTTTTTATTCATTTATTTACTTGCTTTATTTTATCATTAGCATTATTTTATCATGAATATTATGATTATTATTACTATTATTATTATGATTATTATTACTATCGTTATTATCATGATTATTATCACTATTATTATGATCAAGATTATTACCATTGTTATTATAAATATCATTACTATTATATTATGATAATCATTTCTATAATTATATTATATATTACTATCATTATCATTATTATCATTATTATTACGATCATGATCATTACCATTATGATTATGATTATTATTACCATTATTATTATCAGACTATAAATACAATTATCACTAAAATCTATTTCATTTGCCATTTTTGTCGCTACTCCTATTAGCATTAAGGGCTAAACTAGCATAATTTCCTCACCCAGTCAACAGGTCGGGACAATGCCCAGCGGCTGACCCCACCTGCCCTATTCGCACAGGACCTTCCGTGTGTAATTCGGACATCATCTGCGGGCCGGGCGAGAAATGCTGTTTCGACTCCTGTCTCGAATACAGTACTTGCAAGCGTATTCTCGCATAAATTCTATTTGTCTACGGGATACATCGTGATGTACGTTGATGGTTGACTCATGAAGATGTGTTTTCCGATATGTGTATGTGCGTGTTGAGACATAAAAGCTATATTATTTCGAATCTTTGTATTGGAAAAGAAACATTACTTATTTTGCACCATTGAAGTATTCGAAACTATATTTGAACGGGTATGTTTGTATATGCTTGTAAACTCAAAACAATAAAGTAGTAAACATTGCTGAATAGTATTTTTGGTTTTCTTAACACAAGCAAACGGACATACATAGACATATAAAGAAGACAACGGTTGCCAAGTGCGGAATTTCTTAAATGTATAATTCTGTATCAAAACATACGTTGTCTTTATTGAAATATATGCCTATGTTATATGCTGTATATACTCTTATATTATGAACGTAATTAACATATGCATATACATGCTTATGTATGTATGTTTATATATAGATGTATATATATGTGTGTATATATATGTATATATACATATATGTATATTCATACACACACACACACACACACACACACACACACACACACACACACACACACACACACACACACATATATATATATATATATATATATATATATATATATATATATATATATATGTGTGTGTGTGTGTGTGTGTGTGTGTGTGTGTGTGTGTGTGTATGCATATGTATATGTATATATATATGTATATATATACGTATATTTATGTATATGCATATGTGTGTGTGTATTTATGTACTTGTGTCCATATATATGTACATATGTATATATACACATATATTTGTATATATATGTACGTATAAGTATATATATATTTTATATAAATATGTACATATATATATATATATATATATATATATATATATATATATATATATATATTTACAACACACACACACACACACACACACACACACACACACACACACACACACACACACACACACACACTCACACACTCACACACACACACACACACAACACACACAACACACACACACACACACACATATATATATATATATATATATATGTATATAAACGTACATATCCATATATACATTAATAAACTACATCTGAATATCTATGTTTATTTAAGGATGAGTAATACATAATTTCGACAGCATGTAAGTTAACATGCCAACATGATGGCCAATGTTACACAGAGACAGATGAAAAAAAGATAAATGTGAATAGGGACAGACAGATAAACACTGAGACAGACACACGATCAGGTATGTTTGTTTTTGAAAGCCAGGTTAATATACAAACAAACACATACAGATTATGAAAGTTTGTGTCAATAAACAAAAGTAGACATGGATAGGCAGTTGACGATATTGAGTAGTTGAATATGTACGTGGATAGATAAACGAATAAGTAGATAGGAAGACAGATAAACAGGGAAATAGACATTTACGGGGGAATCAGATTGTTAAATAGGTCGGTAAACAAACTGACAATAAGACAGGTTAACAGACAAACAAATCAACAAACAGACATAGAGATAGTCATAGCCGAAGGGATAAAATAAACGGGTTGAATAAACAAAGATAAAAAACAAACAAACAAACAGCCAACACACAATACCAAAGACCAGCACAAAAAAGAGAGGAGAAAGAAAAAGAAAAAAAGAGAGAAAAAAAGAGAGAGAAAAAAAAGAGTGAAAAAAAGAGAGGAAAAGAGAGCAAAAAGAAAAAGAAGAAAAGAAAGAGAGCAGAAAGAAAAAGAAAAAAAGAGTGAAAAAAAGATCAGAAAAAGAAAAAGACAACAACAAAAAAAAAAAGAAAAGAAAAAGAGAGCAGAAAGAAAAAAGAAAAAAACAACAAGAAAAAAAAGAGAACCGCAAGGCTGAGATTCACGCGAGGAGCCAGCCAAGAATGAGCAATCAATCGGAGTGTGGTGTGAGGTCTTATGACGAGCTGGGGACAGTCTGTCACCGTGCTTTGGGCGAGGGAGACGTCGCTGCTAAAGCTCCCGAGTGTGTCTTTGCTGCTAAAGGGGTGAAAAAGATTAAAACACTTTTTATTGTGTTCCGTCTATGTAATGAGAAGCGTATTCTCTTATCATTATAATCATTATTATTATTATTATTATTATTATTATCATTATTATTATTATTATTATGATTAGTGTTATTATTATTATCATTGCTATCATTATTTATTATTATTTATATTATTATTATCATTATTATGTTATTATTATTATTACTATTACATTGCTATCATTATTATCAGTATCATTATTATTATCATTATTATTATCATAATCATCGTTATTATATCATTATCACCATCACTTACACTAGTATATTTGGCTTTATTACGAGAACTGGTGTAGGTTAATAGCTAATATATTTTCACTGATAATTAGGAAATTAAAGCTAATTTACTAAATTGAATTCGTTCATGTCTTCTAAAGTCCCTTAAACATGTCAATTTATCTTTCTTTTAAGCTTTAGGTAATGACCTTCCTTGCATTTTTTATTTTTTTTAATTTATTTTTTATGTTACTGTCACGCCCATTATCGAAGAGAGAGTTTAAATTGAATTAAAAAGAACAAATTAAAAGAACTTAGATTAAATCAAAATTAAGTTAAAAGAGTTTAATTCGAATTAAAAATGTAAATTAAACTAAAAGAGTCTGAATTAAACTCAAACTTAAAAGAGAGTTCTAATTAAACTAAAAAAAAATCTTGCCAAACTTAGCGTCTGAAAAAGGGCGTATAACTTGAAAAGTAACTAATTGTTTCTGTTGCTCCTTTCTGTTCTTAAGAATTGGTCTATTTTGATATTTCTCCATATTATAAAGAGGGTGACTCACGGTTAATCTGCAATTATCCACTAATTCCTGGTCTTTTGCGAGCTGTTGTGGTTATAAATGCGAAGGGTTGTAAATAATCTATATCAAAATCAGGTTAATTAAGTAAGCTAACCTTTAATTATATGATTTATTTTGTATAACATGTATCTGTCTATTCGATGCCGTGTGAATTATTTTCTTGCTGTGACTTGGTGAGAAATCAGAAGGTTCGTGATTTCTAAATGGAAATTTAGATCGTGTACCGAAAAGCGGTTTCTGAGAGTAACTACAGTTTGTCAGGAAATTAAAGGGACTGCATTGACAACACATATACAGATATACACATAGACACCGACGCTTTCTCTCTTTCTCTTTCACACACACACACACACACACACACACACACACACACACACACCACACACACACACACACACACACACACACACACACACACACACACGCACGCACACACACACTCACGCACACATAACCCCACCCCTCCCACACACAAGGGTATTTCAGGTCGTGGCATGTCTATACCAATCAAATCCTATTCACAAGGCGACACAAAACTGTCCCTCTGGATTCTCACGCAAAAAAAATAGGAAAAGAAAGAAAGAAGAGGAACGATAAAAGACCTAGCGAGGAGCAATTATCTTCGTAAACGATTTCGTGTCTTGTAGATTATGTATGTAGATATGAAACGTAGACGAGCATAGGCTACAACCGCAAGATAGGTCCGATAATTACATCCGGTCCAACAATGGCTGTGTTGAGTAAGAGAGAGAGAGAGAGAGAGAGAGAGAGAGAGAGAGAGAGAGAGAGAGAGAGAGAGAGAGAGAGAGAGAGAGAGAGAGAGAGAGAGAGAGAGACACAGAGAGAAAGAGAGAGAAAGGAGAGAATTAGAGAGAGAGGAGAAAAGAGAGAGAAAGCGAATGAGAGAAAAAGAAAACGGACAAGCTCCACAGTTACATGTGTTCTTCCTCTCCAAGGTCGACAAGAAAATTACAGGCTATTTCACTCCTTTACTGAACAATACATCAAAAATTAGTTCCTGGATTGTGCTACCCGAGTATGCGCCGTCGTCAAAGTGCAAAATAAGTACATACCACACACATACCAGGTGAAAATACTCCTCATACTTTACTGGGGTCATCAACACACTTTTTGCTTCACTATGAGAATTTCAGTGTGATGTTAGATATCCTAGATATTTTTTCGTTTTTTTTAAGTTTTTCGGTATAGAGAAGCCTTGGCCAACAGATATTTATGTAGTTTCGTCCAAAATTAGATGGAAATATGCCGTTCTTATATACACATACATATGTATCTTTTTATTTTTTATTATTTTTCTTCTTGTTTTTTAATGCAGTTGAGACATTTGATGTATAATAGGAAAAAAATAACATGGAAAGGGGGAAAGAGAAGAAGAAATGGACCAAGAAATGACCAAGAAAGGGTAACTAATAAAGGAAAGGAGATAGAAAAGGGAGAAAAAAGTAATAGGAAGGGAAATACAAAATACAAGAACCCTAATTAAGGGAGTTTTATGGGATTAGATTAAGAAGAAAATATACTTAACGTCTGCTTGACTATTTTTTTTTTTTTATATCAAATCTTCCTCCTTATAATCTTCTCATCATTTGTAATTCCTTTTATTTTCTTATTTAAGGACCGTCATTTCATGGACACGCTAGTACCCAGAAGCAGAAATCCGGAAATTTGTTCAAACAGACAGGACCTGTGGTTGGTCAATAACGCTTGTGTAAATACTGAAAAAGCAATGGTAATAGAGATAATTAGAATGATAATGATACTAAGAAGGATGATAACAGTAGCGATAATGATAACAAACGGTGATGATAATGATAACGATGATAATAACGATGATGATAACGAGGATGATGATAACGGTTACAATAATGATAATAACGGTGGCAATGATGATAATAGCAAAAATAATGATGGCAAAATTAATGATAATGATACAAACAACGATATTGTTAATAACGATTCAAATAGTAATTCAGGTGATAAACTGAGAATCATTAAGGTTTAATTCACCAATTGTTAATAACACAATTGGTGATTCAAAAAATAATTTCTCTAACAACCATAATGTGTGATTTTAGCAAAACAACACTAATTATCATGATCATGTTATACGTAATAAAAATGATGATAATATTGCCCATATCAATATTCTTGATTATAAGACAAATAATAAAGATAATGATACAAAAACATCAATGGTAAATATTACAATAGTTACGACAGGAATGGCATTGTATTTATCAATGAAAGGTCACTGCAATAACTTGGTGAAATGATACTGATGATATTAGTGATATTGATAATAGTGATAATGATAATAAAAAATAGAATGATGGTAATGATGATGGTGATAATGATAATAACAAAAACAAAAGTGGTAAATAATGGTAATGGCATCAATAGAAATATTAATAAAAGTAATGATAATAATAATAGTGATAATATTAATAACATTGATAATAACAGTTATCATAATAATAACAATAATAATGATATCAATGACAGCAAGATTGTAATAGTAATATTGCTATTGGTAATGTTTATTCAGCCTATGTGCATAGATACAGTTTGACATACACAAATAAAACTAGAATGACTGTGTGTGTTTGTGTGTGTGAGTAAGTGAGTGAGTGTGCCTGTGTGTGAGTGAGTGAGTGTGTGCGTGTGTGTGTGTGTGTGTGTGTGTGTGTGTGTGTGTGTGTGTGAGTGAGTGTGAGTGAGTGAGTGAGTGAGTGAGTGAGTGAGAGTGAGTGAGTGAGTGTGAGTGAGTGAGTGAGTGTGTGAGTGAGTGAGTGTGTGTGATCAGCTATAAACTAGAGAGACATGTCAAGCAGACGAACAGTCAACGCCCACCGCTCCTGAAGAAGTAATTACAGCCCACTAACACATGTCAGCTGATGCAATATTCACAGGGAAAGGACGTCGGTTATTTACCTGACGGCGGAACAACTCGGGGTAGTTCCCTTTGGCTTTTCTCAGGGGAACCGTTAAGAACAACGTCTAACCTGGAGTAATGGGGTTAAACGGTGTCTTTGTTGTGTTAATTTTCCCCCCTCCTTTTCGATTTTATATTCTGTATGATTGGAACAATGGTGGGTGACATGGGTTTAGGATTAGAAGTGTGTGGGTTTTCCGAAAGCTTAGGTAAATTGCGTGTGAAGTGATTTGCGTTGGAAATATAACACTATTCCGTACGAGCTGATTCTTTATTCCGTTTGTTTATTATTTCTCTTCTTGCTCTTAAAAATCCCCCCTCTCTACCCCTTCTCTTCTTTTTTTTCTCTTCTCTCTTTGATTTTATTTTCGTTTCTTTTTTCTTCTTCTTCTCTCTCTCTCTCTCTCTCTCTCTCTGAATTCATATATGATGATGATACTGCGGTACTCAATAATAATAATTATGATAATAGCTATTGTGATGATGATAACAATTGTCATGTAAAATGTATAGTCGTGCTCACATTATGTCATCATCAGATAATATACGGCACTATATTGTATGACTTGCCTACACTGTAGGGCTCATTACTCTGCTTGTAGGTACTGGTAGGAGAAATGGCTGTTAAAAGGGGTAATCGTATTTGAGAATTGAGATTTAGGATGAACTTGGAGAAACTGCGCAAAGAAAAAACATTATCATCCTACTGGTGAACGTAAGTGTAGATCTGTTTCTGGGATGTTCGCTAAGAGGTGAAGACTATGCCAGAAAAATTAAGTATTTGCAAAAAAGGTCGTAGTGATCGTGTTATTTAGAGGTGTAGAGTAAGAATTAGAAAATAAAAAAAGTTTAAACTACTGTGCTAAGGCAAGAATTGTCTATGAATTTACTATCTGACCTTCCAAGCTTTTAAATCTGGTTAAGAAATTACTAAGTAAATGTATTTGAAAAGTGCTTAATAGGTTGTAAACATCCGGAATAGTCACACACACACACACACACAAACACACACACAACACACACACACACACACACTTACTTTTTTGCCTTCTTTTATTCCAAAATCTTCCCGATATCCGACGTAACAGACAGTGAAGACTCGAAAGACAGGATTTCTAGACAACGTTGGGCGTGGCGCGGTAATTTATAAGTCATTGTTGTCAGCAGTGTCAGTTCAAAGACAGACTTAACCTATAAGCTCTTCTTAATGGGTAATGCTCACCAGATAACATAGAAAATGAAAAAATAACTACAACCTCAGAACTACTTATAAAAAAAAAGGAACGGCAAGGAAGTCCTCAGTCTCAACCTATATACTCACCTGTAATCTAAGGAACGGCAACGGAAGTCATCAGTCCCAGCTTATATATCACCTGTAATGTAAACAACGATGTTGTTCTTCATAAGCAAATATGTTGCATATAATAACATGTTCTAAATAATGCATTTCGTTTAATGCAGACGTACTGGATATAATCTTGACAGAAAAGCTGCATTTCATAGAGTTAAAAAGAGCAGGAATATATATGATGGATGTTGGTAGGTATAATACGCGCGTTATTAGTGTGATTGTTGTGCCGCGTCGAAGCACAAGAAGCATTGCATCACCCTATGTCATCGTTTCGAATAGAC